CAGATCAGCAGGGGAGAGAGATTCAATAATACAACAAGAAACAGTGAAAGCAGCTCCTTTTCCTTTCAGATGTCAAAGAAAATAGATTTTTCTAGTTGCCTCGGATTAGGGATTTACAATACTGTAGACTGAAGGACTTATTTGGGAGAAAAATCTAATGACTCTGAGATTTTTAAAAGGAAAAAAACCCTTCCAAAGCCACAAAAGCATTGTACTGGTTGCTGGGATTTATTATCTCATTTGTTTGTAAGCAGCTATTAGTTAAAAGCTTCTCTAGAATACATATGGCATTTTGGTGAGATTTATTTATGCTGTTCCACCTATGTGACTAAATCCCATTATGAAATAACAACTCAGTATTTTCTTTATCATGTTTTAGCTGACAGATTTGTATGTATTTTTTTTCTTTCATTTATTATTTTTTTGGTAAAAAAATATACAAGTGCATTGTTTCCAGTGAAAATCACTTTAAAACACTTCAGGGTAATGAATGTAGTTTTCATTCAAAGAGCTGTGCATAAATATCTAGTACTTTTTAAAAAAGAATGCTTATAACAAATTGGGAAGTAAGCTAGGCTGTAAAATACACTCTGAAATGTTTGAAGCAAGTGTTTACCAAATGTTAATATTGTCATTTTATAAATAGTTTTCTATAAAGAAGCCCAATCAATAATAATTTACACAAATAACATATTTGGTTATAGAATCACAAATATCAGAGTGGAAAGTTGAAATGCGAATATCTGAAGAGCATTCCATTAAAAAAAAGCTGCATTAGAGCACACTGCTTGCCTTATTGGGAACCATATTCCAGGGAGCGAAATATAGCTGACCTCATTATGGGCCACTTGTATCAGTGTTACCTATGGAAAAATTCAGTGCCTTGATGTAAGAGTTTCAACCTAATCCTGCGAAGTTTCTTCTTGGTAATATTGTACTTGCAAACTAGGGCATACAAAACCTTTGCTAGACCAATTCTCGAATACAGCTTGTCTGCCTGGAATCCGTGCTGTATATCGGATATTAATACAATTGAGAGAGTCCAGAGGTATTTCACTAGAAGACTCCTCTACTCAACAGAATACCCTATGCCACCAGGCTTGAAATTTTGAGCTTAGAGAATCTAGAACTATGCCATCTAAGTATAGTACACAAAATTATCCACTACAACTTCCTACCTGTCAATGACTACTTCAACTTCAACCACAATAATACGAGCAAGCAATAGATACAAACTCAAGGTAAACTGCTCCAAACTTGATTGCAGAAAATACAACTTCAGCAACAGAGTGGTCAATGTTCCTAAGAAGTCTGTAAGGGGTGTGCTAAGCACACCAGTGTGCCTACCATCCCTGTCCTACTGTCTCCATTTATTTGTACCCATTCACTGTGTTCAAATTTATGTATGTTTATACTTATACCTGTTATTTTTTCACATGTTGGACAAAATAAATAAATAATAAATAAATAAATAAATAAATAAATAAATAAATAAATAAATAAATAAGAAAGAAAGAAAGAAAGAAAGAAAGAAAGAAAGAAAGAAAGAAAGAAAGAAAGAAAGAAAGAATGAAACTGAAAATGAAAATGAAAATGAAAATGAAAATGAAAATGAAAAATAAAATAGGTATAAATATATAGCTGTATCTTTCACCAACTTCCAGTAAAGGACAAAAAAATCTGCCATTTTAAACTTATGCTCTTGAATCCTTTAAACACAAACCTTCCTATAGGAAAAGAGAAAATTTGCACAGCTAGTTTTGCATACCTCATTTATTGTTCCAGTTCTTTCATTGGTTTATCACACATTCCACTCCTGTTTCCTAGAAGAAAATCATGTTCTGTTGTTTAGAGCTCAACTAAGACACAGTGTAGAAATTTATCCATAACAATTAAGCTACCAACTTCTCTGCAGAATTCCAATCATCATGTTTAATTTTTCACCCAATGAAACAATAAACCTGCCTTTGCTTGCCTTCTCATTCTAGTGACTCATTCTGAAGAGGTATTTTCTAGAAGAAATTGATTACAATACTATATAGATTCAGACCTGGGCATGGAATGGGAATCCTATTTATTGTTCTACAAGTTACTTTTATTGAAATCTACGTGGGGAGTACACTTTTTTCAAGATGTCCTTTTGAACTTCTCAGCAGTCTTCAATGCCAACAACCATATTTTCTCAGCTGCTCATGATGACTAGGAATGGAAAGCATTCTCTTGTGGTTGCATTTCTCTCTTTGCATTTTAGTATCTGTATAAAGCCACTGGAAGACATCACCTACTAATGTAGGTTGAGGTATTATCAACAAATCAATAATATTTAGTTGTACCTCATCAGACACAGTGGAAATCTTGATCTGGTATTTGAAGACTTTAAGTCTGCATCCTGAGGTTGAATTTCAGAAAATTTGGAGTCTTTTGCCTGTTGGTAGGACATTCTTTTATTTTCATTAAATAACAGAATAACAACTTTGGAGATCTTCTAGTCCAAGCCCTTGTTCAAGCAAGAAACTCTATATTGTTTCAGACAAATGGTTGTCCAATCACTTCTTTAAAATCCCCAGTGTTAGATCACCTACAACTTCTGGAGACAGTTGTTTCACTGATTCATTGTTCTAACTGTCAAGAAATTTTTCCTTAGTTCTAGGCTGGTTCTCTCCTTGGTTAGTTTCCATCCATTGCTTCTTGTTTTGCATTTAAGTCCTTTGAAGAATAGGTTGACCTGCTCTTCTTTGTAGCAACCCCCTAGATATTGAACCTGCAACTTAGGTGTTGTCCTAGACACAAGACTATTGCTAAATAAGAGTATGTAGCTCATAGCTAGGACAAGCTTTGCTCAGCTATGACTAATCCATCAGTTGCAATTCTTTCTAAAACATGCGGTATTGGCAATAGCTTTGCCACATTTATCATTTTACCTATAGAATCAGTTACTGCAATGTATTCTAAGTGGTGTTGATGTAGATTTTAGCATCTCAAGTGCATTTGACAAATGAAATTCTTCCATACCATGTGTCATCAATTTTGCAAACTGCTGCATTGACTTACATGAAATTTATGAGAACCATTAAAAATACTGGTTTTGTTTTTTTTAAAAAGTCCTTTATGTCTTGATAGCTGAATGATTGACAACTGCTTCCCTCAAATAAAATTAACTCATCCATGCATCTGTCATGAGTGTTTTTGTCTCAAGAGTTACTCCTACATAATTCAAGGAGGTGGTCAGAGCCTTCTTTTTAGTTTATGCTTTTCAGTCCTTACCTTAGTCAGGGGAATAAGAATGGCCTACCTACTGGTGTCTAGAAGGACAGTCAAAATGGCGCTATTTCCTATTTAACATAAGTTTAATACTGAATCTGTTTGTAATTATTGTTGAGAAGATTCAAAACATTCTACATATTATGTACCTCAGCATGGTCCTATTATTTAACAGAATAATTAATATGTGTTATTTATTTAGAAATGGTATAAAAAGGACCATATTTTCTTGATAATATTATAACTAACTTTAACATGAATCTCAGAATTTGCAGCCTATGAAATGTATGCTATATTTTTATCCTACATATTCATATTAAATACATTCAAATGCAGAGAGGGATGTATCAACAGCATGTGGGTGTTTAATGCCTAGAGTTCCTCAGAAGAGAACCTATGAAGCATTATTCACTCCTTGTTATTATTCCATAGAAAAGAACAAGATTAGAGTTACAGTATGTGGTATTTTTCTGGTACAGTTAAGCATTTCCACTTGAAAGAAATATGAACTAAACATGAATCTAATTAAATATCAAATTTCTACAAATACAAAGCAAAGAGGACTTTCAGACATCACCTTATCATGTAACAGTTTTCCTGTACATATTATAGCATGCTGCTGTTTCTTTCTGCCAGGATTTATAGGGGCATTTAATTTAATATATTCCACCAATTTCCACATTTTTATTCAGATAAACAAAAGCCTTCTAAAATATTCTACACTGCTTCTACATTTATTACATTGCTTTTGAATAGTGGTGAGTTTATAAATACATCAGAAACCAGTATTTACCTTTAAATAAAAGTATGATAAATTATTTTTAATTATTTACCAGTTTACCAATTATTTACCAATTACTGAACCATAAACTAAACAGCCAGTTTGTTGTCATATTTTGTTCAAATATTTTCCCTGTATATAATTTAATATGTTATGCAAATCCAGGTCATTGGGTTTATAAAAAAAGCATCATAATTCTATTAACCTCAGAAAATAATACCTTACAAACTGTTCAAACTATCTGAAATGCATATTATCAATGTTGAACATTCTCAAAACAATATGTGTATTTAAATTTGCACACACGGCCACATAGATACATATATATGCACATATGCACAAAATAAGGTTTTATTATCCTAATGCTATGTGTGACTTCTTAAAAATAATTTTCTAGCACTTAGTTCAGCATAAGTATATACAGAACTGCAGATTTTATATCCAAAATATAAGTTTTATATTTCAAAACTGGAAGAAACTGTTATTAATTCTTTAGTATTGATTATAATTTTGAAATACTTTTGTTTTTGTTATGGATGTTTTTCGTGAGAACAGTAAGATATATTCGAAATATAGAATATGTTTGCTTCAAGTGCAACAAATCACACAACAGTAAAATACTTACTTAAGAATACTAACCTTAAGCAGGCATCTATTATTCTACAAAGAATAATGCCCATGTTCCTATTGACATGTTTCTATGTTAAATTTCTACACACAAGTTATTAAAGATTCTTGCACCAAAAAAGCAATTTAAAATATCTTAGACAGGTTTGTATATTAAAATTATGTTTATTAACAGTTGAAATGGAAAATATATATTTTAGAATATCCATATTTCCTGAGTTATTGCCTAATGCAACATAGAAAAAACATAGTAATTTTATAAAGTTGTGTAGCTTGCTGCATTAAACTGCTTAAAGCACATTCTTAATTAACTTTATTTATTTATTTCTAGTCGTATTGCTTGATACAACCACTGCTATTGGAGAGCTAGGATGGAAAACCTATCCTCTAAATGGGGTAAGTCGATCATCGTAGGTTTGTTGGCTATTTTGGGTATATATCTGATGTCATTGAAATATAGTTTCTATTTCTAAAAATAGAACTGCACCAGTAGAAGCATACTGTATATACAAAATGGCACAAATAATTAAACACCTTTCATGGTTTATTTATGAATACTTATGGACTTACACAGTAAGTCAACTTTTAACTATAAATATCTTTTAAAAATACCTTTTGTTAATTGTGGAAAGGATTTTCTGTTTAAAACATATGAATGAAATTTAGTGAAACACTTCTGATCACATTTCACCAGTTAGATGTATCTGATGTTCAAAATATAAATACAATAATACAATAGCAGAGTTGGAAGAGGAGGTCTTGTAGTCCAACCCCCTGCCTAGGCAGGAAACCCTACACCATTTCAGACAAATGGCTATCCAACAACTTCCAGTGTTGGGGCATTCACAACTTCTGGAGGCAAGCTGTTCCTCTGATTAATTGTTCTAACTGTCAGGAAATTTCTCCTCAGTTCTAAGTTGCTTCTCTCCTTGATTAGTTTCCACTCATTGCTTCTTGTTCTGCCCTCAGGTCCTTTGGAGAATAGTTTGACTCCCTCTTCTTTGTGGCAACCCCTGAGATATTGGAACACTGCTATCATGTCTCCCCTAGTCCTTCTTTTCATTAAACTAGACATACCCAGTTCCTGCAACCATTCCCCATATGTTTTAGCCTCCAGTCCCCTAATCATCTTTGTTGCTCTTCTCTACCCTCTTTCTAGAGTCTCAACATCTTTTTTACATCATGGTGACCAAAACTGGATGGAGTACTCCAAGTGGGGCCTTACCAAGACATTATAAAGTGGTATTAACATTTCACATGATCTTGATTCTATCCCTCTGTTTATGCAGCCTAGAACTGTGTTGACTTTTCTGGCAGTTGCTGAACACTGCTGGCTCATATTTAAATGGTTGTCACTAGGATTCCAAGATCCCTCTCACAGTTACTACTATTGAGCAAGGTACCACCTATACTGTACCTGTGCATTTTGTTTTTCGTACCTAAATGTAGAACCTTATTTTTTTTCACCATTCAATTTAATTTTGTTAAATAGTGCCCAATGTTAAAGTTTGTCAAGATCCTTCTTAAGCCTATCTTATGGAGTGTTGGCTATTCCTGCCATCTTGGTGTCATCTGCAAATTTGATGAATTCCCCATTTAACCCTTCATCCAAATCATTGATGACCATGTTGAAGAGTACTGGCCTAAAACAGAGCCTTGGGGTACTCACTGCATACTTCCGCCATGTAGATGCAGTTCCATTGAAGACTTCATGTTGAGTAGGGTTGGTCAGTCAGTTACGAATCCATCTGGTGGGGATGCTGTCTAATCCACATTTTTCTACTTTGTCCAGTAGTAGGTTATAGTCTACTTTATCAAATGCCTTGCTAAAGTCCAAGTAAATTATATCGATGGCATTTCTCTGGTCCACTAATTTTGTCACTTTGTCAAAGAATGCAATAAGATTAGTCTGGCATGATCTGTTTTTGACAAACCCATGTTGGCTTTTGGCTATTACTTTGTTTATTTCTAGGTGTTCACTAATTCGTTGCTTGGTTATCTTTTCCAGAATATTCCCTGGCATTGAGGTCAGGCTGATAGGTCTGTAGTTTCTTGGATCTATTTTTTTTTCCTTTTTTGAACATGGCTTATATTTACATCATCTCTTTTCCAGTCCTCTGGCAGTTCCCCAGCGCTTCAGAATCTCTGAAAGATATAGTTCATTAGTTGTGAGATCTCGTCTGCTAGTTCCTTCAGAACCCTGGCTTCAGAACCCTGGGGGTGTAATCCATCTGGTCCTGGTGATTTGAACTCATCTAGGGTAGACAGGTGCTCAATTACCATTTTCTTCCCTATTTCAACTTGTGTTCATAATCTAATTTTTGTGGTGCTGTTTTTGATAGGTTGGACTGTTTTTCCCTTTGTGTAAAGACAGATGCAAAAAATGAATTAAATAGTTCTGCTTTCTCCCTGTTGCTTGTCACCTTATTGTAACTTTCTCCCAGCAATTGACCAATTGTTTCCTTGACATTTTTCTTGTTCTTAACATGTTAGAAGAAGCTTTTTTGTTATTTTTTACTTTTGTGGCAAGCCTTTGTGATCCTTAGCTTTCCTCACTTCATCTTTACAGGTTAGGACTATTTGCTGGTATTCTGCCTCAATTATGTCCCCCTCTTTCCACTTTTTATATTTATCCTTTTTGTCTTTCAATTTGTCAGAGAGTTCTTTATGTAGCCATGCTGGTTTCTTCTGGGAGCTGTTATTTTTCTTCTTCATTCGTATTGTGATAGACTGGGCTTTTGTAATCTCATTTTTCAAAAGTTCCCAAGCTTCTTGAGTTGTTTTCCCCATGAGGATTCTCATCCATGGTATCCTTCCTAAGCTTTCTCTGAGTTTATTGAAATTAGCTCACTTAATGTCCAATACTCTAGTTTGACTTTGTTCTACTACTTATGTTTGCATAATGTTGAATTCCAGTATTGCATGATCACTTGCCCCCAAGGTTTCTGTAGCTTCAACACCTTCTATCATTTCCTCTCTGTTAGTGAGAATTAACTGTCCCCTTGTTCCCTTCTCTACCTTTTGGGAAACAAAGTTGTCTGCTAGGTTTGTTGGGCACCTATTAGATTGTCCACTTGGTGCAGAGTTTGTTTCCCAGTTTATGTCAGGGTAGTTAAAATCCCCCATTACTATTGTGGTGTGCTTCCTACATACCTTAGTTAGCTGACCAGCAAACAGTTCATCTACTTCCTCTGCTTGGTTGGGTGGCCTATAATATAGACCTATGGCTATGTCATTTCTCCCCTCCCTTTAATATTGATCCAAATGCATTCAAGATAGTTCTCATAATTGTTGTGCTCTATTTCTGTAAAGATGTAGTTATTTCTTATATATAGTGCAAGCCCACGTCCTCTTTTATTTGGTCTATTTCTTTTAAATAATTTAAATCCTTCTAGCTGTATGTTCCAATTGTGGGTTTCATCCCACCAAGTTTCTGTAATGGCAACAATATCATATTTGTCCTCATTTACTTGGATTTCTAACTTACCTTGTTCCTCATACTCTCTGTACATTGGTGTCTAGACATTTGAGTCCATTTTGATTGACCCTGTGTTTGCGGTTTACTATTTTCCATAATACTGTTTTGGAAGCATTAATCTTACTTCTATCAACTCCTTCAAGAATAGGGTCTTATATTTATCTATGGAATTTATGAACCAGTAAACGCAAGCTATTCACAGCAATGAAAACCCTAGCTGCTTATACAATACTCAGCTGTTGGAATCTAGCCAAAGATTCATTATTCTAAATTTGCAAATTTAGAGTAATGAATATAATAATTGTTGAAAGTATGTTGTAAAACTCTCATGTGGATAAGATGCTTGTATTTCTTAAGGTACTGCATTCCTATGTCTAAAATACAGTATATCAGGAAGAGTTACAGGTGAAAATAATAGACTGCCATGATCAATGACATATGGTAATACTATAGAACAGTGATGGCTAACTTTTTCCGGACCAAGTGGCCACAGTATATGCTTGTGCACATGCACAAATGCACGCACAGATGTCTGAACCCCCAAAATGCAATGCATGAGTGGATCCATGCATGTGCCCTGCCCCCTGTACATATGTGCACATTGCCCAATCCCCATACCCCCACATGTGCACAGCCCCCACACGTTCCAAGTCCCCCATGCATGCACATGCAGACACTCACACACACACACACACACACACCTCTTGCACATATGTGGCAGAGCCCAGAAGACCACGTGGCCACTGCAGTGGAACTAAACTGGGGCAACAGCTCACGTGCCATCAGAGAGGACACTGTGTACCACCTCTGGCAAGCGTGCCATAGGTTTGCCATCACAGCTATAGAATGTTACCAGTCAGTTAACAAGACAAATATAAAGTTTATGTGGCCTTACTGCAAATATTCACATATTTTCTTTGCAATGGAACATTCTCTTCATTATCAGATATCTGACATTATTCAAATCAGCTTTTGTTATTGCCTGATATTACCAGGGGAGATGAAAGGGAGAGAGAGGAGAGAGGGAGAGTAACTTTATAAATTTAAAGTTTATAATACAATTTCTGTCACGGCCAGATTTGTTCCCTTTTCATATGGAAACCTATCAGTCACTACCTCATTTCAAATGATCTCAGATGCCTTATTTTTCCATTTCAGTAATTCCAGACTGTAATAATTGGACATTGCTCATTTCAGTGAAATATGATTCTAAGAAAGATATTTGAAGCAGACTCAATGGATGAAAGGCAACAGGTTTTGAAAACAAGTCAAAATCCATTATGCATGTTCTAAATACAGGTTTCTATAGCTGAAGTCAGTTGATTTCTTATCTTTGATAATAAAATAAAGATTAGAATAATTCTGACTTTATCACTCAATTTCTTGTAAGTTAAGAGACACTAAAAGAATTGTTCCCCTTTCTACTATTTGAAATTCTACTGTGGTTCTCAATTAACTCAAGTCACATTTTATGAGGATGGAGTAGGTATATAAGTATAAAAAAATAAATAAGATCATTTTAGCCATTTTGCTTGGCCAGTTCACTTAAGAGTGCATTGAATGAACTTGTATATTTCAACTATTAATTAGGAACCCATATATTTAAACATTTAATCCATTCTATTGATTAGCTTCCAAGAACACTTTAATTTAAAATACCTTGTTGTCAACATACAATTTATTTTTATATGCTGTATCTTCAATGCTGAGTACTTCTGGTTTTTGAGATGACACACACACACTCACAAATACATACACACAAAAAACATAAGGCAAAAATTTCTAATTTTCACACTCTACCCACTGATATTATGAAAATTCCATTTAATTATTCAGAGATTATGAAGGAGATTTTCCTTCATTAAAAAACTACATTGCACTAAAAAAACTAGAAGTGTTAAAATAAATAAGTTTTATT